GGGGGGATCCCTGCATGAACTGCTGCTGCTGTTGTAGGTTCATTTGGTCCTAGTGGTGCTGCTGCTGCTCATTGACACTGTCGAATCTCATACCCTCCAAGAAAACGCCTATGTGGGAATCCAAAACAGGAATTCGACTATCATGCTCGTAATACCAAATAGCCTAATTGTTGTGATAAACTTATTAAATAGTATTTGTTCAAATTTACCGCTTCTGCGTTTTCATTTCATATGCATATCATATTATCGAGTTTTTTGCTCGTAATATGGCCCAATGCTTTCGACCTTAATAGCAAAATTTTTTCTTCTTCAGATTTGATCTAACCATGCTCAATCGACCCCGCAGTCTGACGGTCTCGCTAAGCTCTTGTGCATTTGGCAGTAGGAATATGTCGTAGATGATCTTGCGTGCGTTCACTTTGTATCTGGTTTCACTGTTTAATAAGTTTATCACAACAATTAGGCTATTTGGTATTACGAGCATGATAGTCGAATTCCTGTTTTGGATTCCCACATGGACGTTTTCTTGGAGGGTATGAGATTCGACAGTGTCAATGAGCAGCAGCAGCACCACTAGGACCAATTGAACCTACAACAGCAGCAGCAGTTCATGCAGGGATCCCCTCGTCACAACACTACCAAATGCGAGCATCCAAATTCTCGAACCAGTGGGAAACCAGATACAAAGTGAACGCACTCAAGATCATCTACGACAGATTCCTACTGCCAAATGCACAAGAGCTTAGCGAGACCGTCAGACTGTAATAATGTTTTTACTCAATCCATAACATGGACTTGCGTACGTGAGTATTGGTACGATCATAGATTTACACAAATCCAGTTTTGCTTTTTGTCCAAGATTCGATACGCTTCTTTTTATCATGTGAAAAACACGAATTGCTTTGCAGCAAACCTTATCTATATGCAAATTCCATTTTAAGTCACAGGAAAGCATGAGCCCCAAATCAGATTGAGTTTCCTCTGTTTTAATCGATTCGTTTCCAAAAAGCAATCGTTTTTCGTTTTTGGACATTTTGATTAGGCAGCATTTATCCATATTGAAGGGCATGTTGTTTCTAACGGTCCAGTCATACAACGCATTTAAATCACTTTGAATATCTCTTGTGCTTAAACCCACGCTGAGAAATTTGGCGTCATCGGCAAAAAGTAGGGGAAACAATTGATCGCACATTTTCGGGAGGTCGTTAACAAAAACCAGAAAAAGTATGGGGACCAAAATACTCCCTTGCGGGACACCGCTAGTAACTTGTATTGGTGACGAGTTTACTCCATTTATACGCACGACTTAAACTCGATTTGTCAAGTATGGTTCGATTAGTTTCAGTAGCCTGTTTCTGATGCCCGTTTCAAAAAGCTTTTTTCAAAAGCATACCATGATCCCCTCTGTCAAAAGCTTTACTGTAGTCAGTAAAGATTATATCAACATCATGTTGACTTTCAATGCCCTGGTACACTTTTTGCAAAAAGATTATCAATTGGATAATCGTTGATCGTCTTTTCCTAAAGCCGAACTGAGCTGCGTGAAAAAAAAGAATGGTAATGATCGTAGAGTCGTTTAAAAATAATCCTTTGTAGAATTTTCGAAGCTATTGATAACAGAGATACCCGTCTGTAATTTGTAACATGGCATTTATCGCTTTTTTAAATAATGGACTTATAATTGCTTTTTTCCAATCGTTTGGAAAAATGGCTGTTTGGAATTTTTTTCTGAATAACTGTGAAAGAGAATGAGAAAGAGTAATGCACAATTTTTTATACAATGTGGTGGAATTTCATCGGGTCCTTTACTCTTGTTTATGTCCAAGTTCATGCAAATTTCAATTACTTCCTTTTCGAAAATATTTACAGTGGTAATCAATTTTACGCATTCTTTTCCATTACACCCTTCAATAAATTTTGTCGATTTTGTATACACGGAAGAGAAGAAGATAGAAAATAGTTCTGATTTACCCTTGTCCGTCTCCTCCGAGACAGACTCGTAAAACATTTTCCGCGGGAGAAACAATTTTGACGATGCTCGTTCTGCAGCCAGCTCTTGTTCGTATTCAACTTTGTCAGTTTCTGCACTGGTATCGACTAAATCAGCTAATGCTATTACCTTGTCATGAAATTCTGGAAAATTCTTCCGCGCAGTTCTAAGGCACTTTGTAATGCGATGTTTTTTGCGTAATCCACGGTGGTAGCGACATTCTGTGCGCTGTTTTCCTTGGTACATTCTGAGATATTGCGGTATTGAGCCAGCTATATCATAATTCCAGAACTTTATTAGGATTCGACCAACAGAAAGGTTCGAATTTCGTTTTATTCAACGTTTCTCGTAGTTTTCCAAAATCGCCTTTACAGTAGCTATAAATCAAATCTTTGCAGCAATTTCGCTGCAATAAGGACGATATTTCAACGTTAAACTTAACTTTGATCGGGAAATGATTCGAGAGTTTGCTAAAATAGTTATCCCTTTGAATGTCTTCAATATTCACTATCTGTATGTTTTTTCCCACTAAAATCAAATCTAGAATACCAGTTGCAGCAGTTTGGAGCGAGATTTTTTGTTGCAAACAATATCGATGAATTATATCAAGAAAAATGTTTTCTTGCTCAACAGCAGATGAAAGACTCGTCCAGTTTATTGTTGGGAAATTGAAATCCCCGTATATTATTACTTCATCAAAATTATTTTTGATTTTTTGCAAACATCTAAACAAGTTTTCAATATCAGCGTTCGTGTAAGCGTAAGTACTGTTTGAGGCTGGTAAATAACAGCAAACAATAAGTATTTTCTTTTTACATAAACAAATCAGGCATGCAGTTACTGAACCATTATCTTCAAGATTCAATTTAACTTGCTCAGAGTTGTTTTCATTTTTCACGCAAATCATAGTCCCACCGTGTGCTGTTGTTCCGGATTTTGCTTTTCTATTCGATAAAAAACATTGATATTGAGGTATAAAAAGTTCGCCTTCTGCAATATCGTCTGTGAGCCATGTTTCTGATATACATACAATATCAACAGCATTTACTAGCAGAAAATTCGAAAAAGTTCTCCTTCGATCCGATTTATATAAACTTTTAATGTTATAACACAACATGCTTAGTTCACCAGTTGAATTTTCTAGTCACTCATCAATTACTACTGCTTGGTTATTTAAAAACAAAATTCCATTTTTGATATGAATGTTCTTTGGATCATGTTGGTTTGTATCTAATAACTCTCCTCTTTTTTTTCAGAAGTGTTCGGTCTTTCATTTGCTCTTCTTTGTTTAAAGATTTTGAAACAAAAACTCGATAGGCCTCATCGTTGTATGTTGGTTCGAAAACTTTAAGCATTGGTGCACGTGCTAATATTTTATCAACCGTATAAATATTTGAGAACTTAACAAGAATTTGCCTTGCTCGAGGATTTTGTGAATTGTATTTGCCAAGCCTACGGAAACCGGATATATCTTCTTTTCCCACACCCAGATAATCTACACATCAAATAACTGTTTTTCATCGTGTTCAAAAACTTCTTTTCGGTTTGTTTTTTTTAGGGGCATCGCTTATTTCAGGCAAACCGCTGAACCTTAACTCTAGTGAATATTCAGCATTATTTTTCACAATTGAAGAATACTTAGCTTCGGGTTCTATGGCAGTTGGTGTCAGTGCCGTCACAGCAGACCTAACACTCTCCACTGTGGCCTTAAAGTCTGCAATTTCCTTGGTGACCTCTGCGGAGATCTTGTTTTTCAGTAAGTTGCATTGTGCTGATGGAAGGCATGTGTCACAGAAAAATATCACATTTTTGGCCCTCGCCAAGAATTTGTACTCGTCGTTCGAGTATCCAGCACACCCACCGTGAGTCCATCTTTAGCAGCTCTCACACTGAATCCAGTTTTCTCCATTTGGTTTGGTACAAACAGTGCAGCAATCACTCTGTTTGGATGCCAATCTATTCGTCGTCTCAGGCATTACGTTATATGAAACTATTTAATAAGTTTATATAATTCTATATAATTGGAAGAGTTCCGATTAGCAGTCTTTGTCATCAGTATTTGTCGACTCTCTGAAATAAGAAACGTCGTTTTAAAGAAATAAAGACGATGCGCAAGCGCAAACGATAAATAATGTTAATTTGTGCCTTTTTTTGGGTGCAATCGATTAAGCTGCTAAACTAGATGTTCGATTTATCTTTTTGATTGACAGCTCTTAAAGTGGCCGTTTTCAGTTGCAGTGATGGTTCTTGGGAGTTTTGCTTTGACATTACAATCAAGGAGTAGATCAAAACATGATGTAGCTGCTACTTCAACACCTGACCTCAACTTCATTTCGGGAGACGAGCTAGCCGGACGTCTTCAGGATGGCTTCTGTATCTCCTATGATTCAACCGATGGTCCTACTTCCTTCCCTTCCGGCGGTGACAGTAGCGACTTCCACGGTAGGAGTAGCGCAACTGCTATGGAGATTGTTCCCATGGGACAACTTTCGAATCCCCCCTCCTTCCCTCCTGATAGGAAACTGGTTCTCATTGATCTGCGCTCTATGTTTCTGTTCCAGGAGAGTCACGTGCGGGAGAGTATTAACCTCATAAGTTGTCCTCTGATTTCGAAACGCATTCAGGTACAGCTAAGCACTCGACTTTTGAAGTACATAATGTTTTAAATCATATCTTTCCGATCACTTCATAATGTTTAACCAAAAAAAAATGCTAGTCTTTGTTCAGTATTTCAGTTATATACTTTTAATCCATGGTTAATTTCATCTAATTATGATAAATTTTGAAAAGTGGTTTTTTTCTTACTAAAGTTCTTTTTTCAATTGTCGATCTCATGAATGTTTTGATTTTTTTCTCAAGCGTTGTTCCTCATTTTAATAGAGTTTTTAGTCATCTGCATGCAATATTGTTTAGGATGGGAAACTGCAGATTAAGGAGTACTTGGAGGCTCGGCTACTGTTCGACGGCAGCCAAGACATCGTCATCTACGAGCAAGGACCCCCCTCTGGCAGTGGATGACACATGCCCTCAACCTCCTCTGCGGGCACTGGAAGCGGAGACACCCGTCAAGAAAGTGAGGAGGGGAATGGGATGAATGCAGTCACTGATTTCGCTAAACTAATCTTCAAAAATCTAAAAAATGTGTCCAACAAGGAAGCGCAGCGCGCATTGAGATCTTGCAAGGTGAGCTGAGCTATACAAATATACACGGAATTTGAACGAACTATTAGTTGGGCTGTTTTTTTTTGTTCACACTAAATCAGAAACTACAAAGAATTGTCGGACAAAGTTAGTAGTATGTAACATTGAAGCTCATTTAGTCGTGATTTAGACTGCTATCAAAATTTGGGACAAAATTTTGTTCCATCCTGAAAAATCTGATGGTGGTTGACATAAGTCAACTTGCTTTTAATGTTTTTAAGGCAAGTGGAAAGAGTAAGTGTTTTATGGGCTAGGGTAAATTAAACTTTTAGTGTCAGGATTGTAATGTTTGAAACCTGCATTGTTTAGAAAGAACACTGGTTGAAAACGTAGTCTGAACACTTGGGATATCCTCACCAATTAATTTAAAGTTTTAACCCAAATTTATTTCAAAATTCGGAATTGTCGAATTTGACTCTGAAACTTTTCCGAAATCTCAAAATTTGATCTGGCTAAGTTAAAGTAAAAGGTTACGAAATCTAGGGATATTTTTCGAAATCTATCTGTCAACCATCTCAATTAATATGTTCGCCGTCACTATGAGTTTATAAAAGTCATGTATATAATTTGGTTCATAATATGGAATTTGGCTTTGCGCTGGAAGCTCACAAGGACCAGGGTACATGCTTGATGTGTTGTATTTATTTCAGGTGGTTCCAAAAGACCCAAGACTAATAGAAATTTTTCAACAAACCTAACCATTCAAATTAGGATAAACAGTGAAGAACTTCGGTTATTCATCCTTCACTTGAACCCTCCTCTTACCAGACCCAGGATAAATCTTAGACTTAGTAAGTTTAAAATAGTATCTAGTGAACTACTTGCGTTCTAATTATACCTGAACCTTGTGGATCGATTTACTATTCTCCAACCCTTGAACACAATCACTACCCCTAAGTAAGATTAAGTAAGTTAACACCTTAGCTTATACTAGCCACGAGAAAGTAAAAAATCGTTCCTCGGAATCGATATACTTTTCTCTCCAACCCTGAACAAATAGACCCAGGTTAAGCTAAACAAAAAATCGTAAGGACTAACAGTTTAAGAAAATAGACATCATCTAACAACTTTTTGCATCACTCATCCTAAACCTTATGTCATTCAAAAATCTAGGAAATAAACAAACAATCGTTTTACACAACTGTGAAATAGATAACAAAAAATACGATCTTGTAATCACACCTCATACACAAACAGTTGGATATATTAGAACAAAACGACTAACAATAAGAAGAAAAATAATAAATAAACAAAGACAAATCACACGAAAAAGATTTTCAAAAAATAGAAACGCATTTTCAGAATCAGAAGCCAGCAATTTAGATGAACTCTACAAATTAAAAGAATCAATTGATAAAAATTGTCCCATTCACGATCAATTATATTTTTCCGATTCAAAAACAACTTCAAATTCATCAAAAAGAGGAAAAAGAAGAATAAAAAAGCAATATAAACACAAACCAGTACACTTATATAATTGGAACCAACCAATTAGACACATCGATAGTTATATATTAACAGTCATTAAACGAAAAAATGAGCCAGTAAAAGTACGACAGTAAAAGTACGACCATATTACTTTAGCCTAACCCCAGATCACCTGACAAATAAAAATAAAGTAAAAGACGACCTCCCGAACACCATAAAATTCGCCCCCAACAACTTTTCACAAAACCCAACCCACTTGTCAAAAAACCAATAAATAATTCGACCACACTTGAAAATTGCCCCAAACAACAAAAAATATTCGATCAAGAAGCCATTTCTTGAATGTTCTTCTCTCGATCAGTCAACATAGTTTTCAACATTTTCATAAACTTTTTAACAATATTTAAACTGTTATTCATATTTCTTTTTGATACTTTTGAAGCTTTTATAATAATCTTAATCATTTTTTGCAATATTTTTTAAATTTTCTACTCCCTATATGAAATATATCTCCAATTTTCCCGAGCCATTGACCATATTCACAGGTACGAAAACCCAAAATACATTTAAATGATACGAACCATTTATAGTAGAACAAATATTTTTTTACAATTTGTAATTTTTATAACATTTATATCGTCCCTCATATTGACAATATGCAAATGTATAAAGAAGGCAATCATAACATTCGCCTTTGCAACAATCCTTTTAATTCTTTTTCTAGAAGAATACTACAATAAACATAAATTTTTTACTAAAAAGAAATCAATTAAAAAACCCTCAAAAATTACTAACCAACAATCACACGGTCAGTCTTCACCGACAACATCCCAAGAAAACCCGACACCACCTACAACTACCCAAAACCCCCAAACATCTACACGAATTTCTTTCCAAGATAACCCATATACTTTTGAAGAACGACACGCTCGCTTATCTGAACCACTAGAACCAGTTCAGTGACAGGCACCCCTAAATGAACCAACATATAATTTGTACCCCCCACTACCACAAGACTTAGGTAGAATCAGAAATCTTAGTCAAAACCAAAATACAGTTGAAATAAACAGACAAATTATACATCCACGACGAAATAGGAACTCTCAGACTCCCCGAGTAAATTTTAATATACCCCAATCCCTATCACCAAGTACTCCGGAAAACCCAATCAGCATTTTACCAGAAACCCCTACACTTCTTTCACAACGTACCACCTCAAGTCTACCCTCAGATTACTTAGGTTCAACACCAACATCTGAACAAATACGTGAAAATCCCTTTAACCCCCCAAACCAAACATCACGACTACCATATTGGACAACACAATCATTCACACAAAGTGAACCAAATTTAATAAATGATCCAATAGATATTTCTACAGATACAACAACATCATCATCACTACCAGAAACTTTATCACTACCATCAACACCATCAATCAGCCAGATTTCACCGACGTCTTTTCCCCTAAATTTTCCAAATAACCTCGACGCTAGATATCGAGAACAATCATCAACAAATATTCCTTTAAGATTAGATTGGAACACATTCACAGCACTCCCACCATTATTTGGGCAACACCCATAAAGTAACCGACTCCACAACTGGGCACTTACTAGATTACAATATAGACAAGATATCCACGAAGACATTCGTGACCATAACATCCAAATATTCGTGACCATAACATCCAAATACTCCAACAAAATAGTTTACAATTAAAATTTGAAATCACGGTTAAACTAAACAACATTGCTCAACATCCTTACCCATTAAATCCACCAAATATAACAGCTCAATCGCTACCACCACCATTTATAACAACTGAAGTAATATATAAATACGACAGATATACCAAAAAGACAATTGGTTACATAACATTTTATAACCCGTACTCAGGATTATCATACACATGTATATTCTAAAAGTATTGATTTTTCTCCAACTCCTTTTTCTAATAATCTCCGATCAGAACATAAATCCTTCTCCCCGCACAGGACCCCAAGACTTATTAGTAACACATTACGATTGTGAAGAAAATGAACAAAAAACACTACACAAATATGCAATAAATCAACTAACACAATGCGAAACAGAACCACAAGCCACAGAAACTACAAACGTAATAGCAACATTAAATTCAAAAGCCCGAGCAACGACAGTCACAGGATATAAATTCGCAGCAACATTTTCCGAAAAGAAAGTACACTGCTCACAAGTTTCTAACGGAAACAAAAACAGACTTGATCACGAATCATTTTACCAAAGTAATATAGAAAGACTTTTACATCTCAACCCCGATGATTGTAAAATTGAATTACACAGAGTAAACCAAACAAAAAACAAACACTCAGTTGTAGTTGAATTGTTGACGAAGCTTTCGCCTTGCAACGGCTGAAGTTTCGGCTCAATCTCGACGTCATGGCAAACCTCGTTCAAGGCGAAAGCTTTGTCAACAATTCAACTACAACTGAAGATGAGGCACGACTTGACATTAAGGCAAACGGACTCTGGGGTTCACGATTCAGCCGCGCTTTCTTTGATGTGAAAATTTTCAACCCCCATGCCAAAACATCGCGAAAACTGCATAAGGATGCACACAAATACTACGAAACGCTGAATAACTCCAAATATCAGCAAAGAATTTTAAACGTAGAGCAGAGTAGGTTCTGCTTGCTTATTTTTGGATGCACCGGTGGCGCTGCTCCAACAGCCACGCGGACGATGCAGCGATTGGCCGAAAAACTAAATGAAAAAAGACAAGAAAGCTATCCAGAATCTATAAACTACATAAGAACTAAAATAAGCTTCGCGCTCCTGAGGAGCTCTATACTTTGTATAAGGGGGTGCAGATCGCTACGCAAAGCTCAATTTATCGACAACTCCATAAGCGCTATTGTAGAGGAAGGACGGCTAAGATAAATTAACATTACGACGATGCATTTAATGCTGATTTATGACTTCATTGCTGATATATATGCATTTTTATATCGCTGGTATGGCCCTATCCAGCTTGTGCACTTACCGTAACTAAACGGTAAGGCCCCTTTTGCAATTAAGTTTTTTTAAATTAAAAATGAAGAGCAACTTGGTATTCGGGCGTAATTTTTTCCTCGCAAAATCAGGTACTACAAATAATCATCGGAATGGGCCGAGTAATTAACACATATTTGAGCCCTTTCAGTTGTGATTCGAATGTTGTTGATTCGTTCGAATGGGCCGAGTAATATATAAGATTAAAGCTCTTTCAGTCGTGATTTGAAAGAAAAATTTGTACCAGCGTTGAAAAAAAACTGCTTTGAAATTTTTGAGGTTTAGTCTAATTTCCAACAGGTAACGCGATCGATTAATGCTTGTTATTACGCTTGCGAATAGCAAGCGTTATCAAACTGGAGTACATATTTTTTTTCTAGTTAACAACCAGTTTAACAAAATCAGTTGAATCCCTTGCTGACTATGCAGTTGATTTCCTTTCTCTTCTCTTAACATCTTCCAGGTTGCTTCCCCCTGGCCTCGAGGTAAATCAGTTGTGTTTGTTTTCTAAGGTTCTGGTGTTCGAGTTGTGGCCGGACCTTATTTTTCTTTTTCAGTATCAAGGAAATTTGAGCGAACAAACAAAAAACTAACAATTCATTTTTCTCGGAATTTTTTCTTCAAAAGTTTTGTTGGCTAAATTGTGACTATGGATTTGTTCGTGCTGTAGAAAATTTTCATTGTAGTTAAGTGGTTTTCCTCGTAATTTCAGGGGTCCTTGAAAGATTTTTGAAAAATAATTCTTCGATTTTTTTTTCGGTTTAGCTGGTGTCAGCTCAAAAATGGACGGCTTAGTTGCAGATCTCTGACATTTTTTGCTGTAAGCAATTTTCATTGTAGTTGCTTTAAATTTTTTCAAATAAAACAATATATTTTTTTCGGCTCAACTTGTATCTGCTCAATAATTGTCGGCTTTGTTTCTTTTCATAAATTTTGTTTCGTAAAGTTTGTTCGGTACTGATTTAAAATTCAAGTGTCTGGCATGGTCGCCTGGAATGAACTTCTATCGATATATATGAAAGTTTATATGAACTAGTGTTTTTCAAAATTTTTATTTTAATTTTTCGGCTTTTAATGTTTTTTTTGTTTGCGTTGTATCGCAAGTGGTGCGAAGCTCCGCTTCACCTCTGTGTATGGAAATTTGTTGCCGTTTTTTTCAGTTTCTTCTGACTTTTAGGACAAAAAACTTAATTTTAGTATAAAGAAAGCTAGTTTTGGATGTTTCGTGTATCCCTTGTTTGGCATAAAACTGGCTGGCCTTGCTTTCATTTTTTTTTGTTTGTTCTCCGTTTTTTGAAGACAACTGTTGTCGGCTCTGCTTAATTGACAGTTTTTCCATGAGTTTGTATAGTACTCTCGTCACAACAAGCCCCTAAAATAGAAATAGGACTAATTTTAAGAAAAAAGGAAAAGCAAGTGTCTTGTAATCGGAAACCAGACTTTTTTCTCGTAAACAACTTTTCGTACACCTCTTGAAGTAGAAATTTGAAGTTGCTTAATTAAAGGAACTTAAGGAACTTCGAGACCTTTTGCTTCTTGGTCTAGAGGTAACGGGGATGCTTTTGTACCGTAAAGTCTGCAGTTCGAGTCCCGGCAGAATTATACTTTTCTCAGTATGTATTGCCACATCGAAATTTCTTATTTTCTTATTTTTACTCTTATTTTCCTTTTTCTTTTTTTTTAGCTCAACTTTTTCAAGCCTAAATGGGTTCAGTTTATTTTTATTGGCATGGGTAGCTTATTTTGAGTCGCTTCAAAGGCAAAAATAATTGATTTTTTTTAAATGCAAGTAGTTTCTGTTGCAGGATTTCAAAGTTTTATAACTTAAGTGCTCAAACTTTTTTATAACAAGAGTTTCATATGGTATTTTTGTTTTCGGCTCAATAGGTGTCTATTCTTTTTTGTCGGCCAAGGTGCCGCTCAGTAAACACTTAAAGCTTATTTTTTTACTGGTGGTTGTGTTTTTCGACTATTTTTCTGGAGTTATTTTCGTTTACTCACAAAATGTTTTTTTCCGATTTTCTTATTTCCTTATTTTCCATTCGCTAGCTGGAAATGCTGCGTTTGCGTTGTATCGCAAGTGATGCGAAGCTTTGCTTCGCCTCTGTGTTGAAATCCTTAATCTCTCATTGCGAAGATCGACATCACCTCTGTGCTAAATGATTGCTTGCCTAATATACCACTTTTCAATTCGGCTTTCAATTGTTTTATTTTTGAAAATGCAATGAAATGTTTCAGCCTTAAGTACTGTGGATCTGTCATAAGCCACAACGGTGACGTTCCTTCTTTAGACAAAATTGACCACTGCTTCGGGGCAACACATCCCGGAGTATATGACGCAGTTAATCAAATGTTCGAACTCAAGTTCAGAGGTCTTCAATTCCAGTTTCCTGCAGATCCCAACTTGATATCTTCACAGATGACAGGACTTGGAGCTATACAGTTCAGTGAGCCTCCTTTGGTCAGTAATGCAAATAAAATCAAGTTGCTGTTCCAATATTCGTTACTAATAGATGAATTAATTGTGGTTTATGCGATTCGCGGAAGGATCTATGAAAACCTATCAGGCCTGCCTGAGAATAGTATGTCTATCTGATTTCCCCACACTCCAGACAGCGTTAGTTTGTTGAGCGAAGCTCTTTTTGGGAGGAATGGCCCTTTTTTGCGTCTTGAACTGGGTTGGGTTAGGGTCTAGGCTGGGTTAGACTTGAAGATAGAGGCCAAGAGAGTTCATCCACACTCACACTATCGTAGGGGATCGAATACACAATATGGCGATTTCAAAATGAAAGCCGTACCATTATGTTAAGTGTCTTTTAAATCAATTGGAATCAAATTTTTTGGTTGAAGATGTCTGTGTTTCAGACCAAATTATTATACGCCCCTCTGAAACAGAACAAGTTGAATCCCATCTCCCTGATGTGTTTTCCTCGTTGCAGTTTGCAGATCTGTAGCGTTGCGTGCGTGTTAATACGCAATGTTGTGCATCTAAAAGTACCGAAGTTGAGATTTAATTAAGCGGCGTTGTAGGTGAGGGTACGCTGAGGATGATAATTATTCCAATATTTCGTCAATCTCCGTATGTTGTGCTGTTTTTTAAGGTGTCCAAATTGCAGATATACACTGGAAATAACCTAATGGAATGTACCGCCCCTCCTGTTCCCCGCAATATTTCTACGGCAACATTTTTGCGGAAAAAGTGGAAGGGATTTTGCAAGACGACTACAAAAACAGAGCTCAAATTCACGTTTATTAGAGAAGATGTTCTGAATGTCACTACCATTTTAATATATACCACAGATGTCCTTTTAATATTTCACTGCCCCATATTGAGAGCGGAAAACAGTCCATTAAGCCGTTTACTAAGTGGGAACAAATCTCAGATATATGCAGTCATGATAAACCGGTGGTTTTTACCAGGGCGTCGTGTGATAACAACACGAACCCCTTTGGACCCACATTTTGTTACAATATTGCAAATATGATCATAGAAGTAATGCAGAATAGCTATATTGCCTCTGTAACTATTTTTGATACTGAATAGTTGTTGTATTGGCATTGTAAATATATTAAATTATAAAAGTAGTATTTAGCAGCTTAGGGGTAATTTAAATATTCATCTATTGATTGTTATTTTTCATTTGAAACAGCACGGCTAAGGAAGAAAGGTTGTATTTGTTAAATTTGAGGCAGAAGTAAAATTGTGGGATTGCACGCAGCGCGGATGAACGTAGTGAAGGCTCTATATAGTTCTTGGTGATTTTTTTGTTCTGGAAAATTTTTTGAAATGCTCTAATACCTACAGATGTGCATTCATACCTATTAATGCCTTAGGTTCATTCCCACTTGGCGTAGAGGTAACGTGGTCGGCTTGGCAGTCTAAGGTCTGGGGTTTGAGTCCCGGCCGGACCTTGTTTTATTTCAGTATTAATGAAATTGCGTTTTTTTCCGATGTAATTTGAATTGCCGGAGTTCCATTTGTCTGCACTAGTTTTGTCGGCTTTGTTGCCATATCCCGGATGTTTTTTGCGCAGTAAGCAAGTTTCATTATAGTTGCAAGTGTTGATCATTGTAGTTTAAGGGGGGGGGTAAAAAAATTTTTTTGAAGACACTTTTTTGCAGCTCAACCTGTGTCTGCTCAAAGATTTGCAGCTGTGGTTCCGCTTCGTAAATTTTGTTCCCTTGCTAATTTAATATTGAATTGTTTTGCGTGACATCTTTGCCCTGAATGAACTTTTATCGAGACATGAAAATTTTGGTAGACCTGATTTCTTTTTTACGAAGACACTTTTTTGCCGCTCAACCTGTGTCTGCTCAAAGATTTGCAGCTGTGGTTCCGCTTCGCAAATTTTGTTCCCTTGCTAATTTAATATTGAATTGTTTTGCGTGACATCTTTGCCCTGAATGAACTTTTATCGAGACATGAAAGTTTTGGTAGACCTGATTTCTTTTTTTGTTTGCTGACATTTTTTTTGTTTATATCTTTTTTAAATATTTGTGTTGTATCGCAAATACTTGCACCAAAAAAGTATCACCATTATACGTTTTGAAGATAAACGTTGTTACAAAAGAATACCCATATTCTACAAAAATAAAGTACATTTTGTCGAGACACTTTCAAGACGAAAGACCAAGGGCGCCCAGAGACTGGTTCACGGGTGAGTCACAATTATTTCACAGATTGGAGATCAACTATTTGAGGATAGAAGAAAAACAAGTTCATAAACTCTATACTGTTCTTCTTTTTCAGCGGCATAATTTTATACTTCAAATTGTCGGTTTTCATATTTTTTGCTGTCGGTAGATGAATTTGAAACAGAAAACCGGGCTGAAGTTCTCGTCAGATTATCTAAACTAATTCATTTTTATGCAAGAGGTAATCAAGTTAACTTAACGGAAGGAGGGAGGGCGGGAGGAGGAGTGGGTGAAGTAGATGGTGTTAACTTGATACAAGAAATCATTTATCTTTGAATATAAATCTGTCTGTTCCATTTTTTCCCCAGCACTTTATACACTCTGAACTATAACAATAAGTAGTTTTTCGGCCCGATGATACTTAAACTCTTTTGTGAACTAATTAATACTCAAGATATTATGGGGTCCAATTAGTTAACTTTTTTGAATGAACTTTTATCGAGACATGAAAATTTTGGTAGACCTGATTTCTTTTTTACGAAGACACTTTTTTGCCGCTCAACCTGTGTCTGCTCAAAGATTTGCAGCTGTGGTTCCGCTTCGTAAATTTTGTTCCCTTGCTAATTTAATATTGAATTGTTTTGCGTGACATCTTTGCCCTGAATGAACTTTTATCGAGACATGAAAATTTTGGTAGACCTGATTTCTTTTTTACGAAGACACTTTTTTGCCGCTCAACCTGTGTCTGCTCAAAGATTTGCAGCTGTGGTTCCGCTTCGTAAATTTTGTTACCTTGCTAATTTAATATTGAATTGTTTTGCGTGACATCTTTGCCCTGAATGAACTTTTATCGAGACATGAAAATTTTGGTAGACCTGATTTCTTTTTTTGTTTGCTGACATTTTTTTTTGTTTGCGACTTCTTTTTTAAATATTTGTGTTGTATCGCAAATGACGCGAAGCTCCGCTCCGCCTCTGCGCCAATTAATCAAACTGACAAAAAACTTCTTGATCAAAATTTGAAAAATTTTGTTAAATTGACCTTCTTACTAACCTAACAAGAATTAAGAAAGGTATAATGCCCAACACTCCGCATTTTTTAAACTGTTTTCAAATAAAAGTTTGCCATTTTTTGTGATGTGTTTTTCATGTGCATTAGACAATAAGTATCTTCATCTTCAAATATCAGAGAATATTTTTTTATGACATTTTTTGTTTTTTTTTTTTTGAATTTTTTAAAAAACTTAGCTTTAAAAGACTCGACAAATTTGAAATTCCGAACCCAATAGTGAGGTTGTGTCAGAGTTACAAGTTTTGGCTCCAAATATGACTGCTCAAAATCTTTCAGCTTCCGAAATAATCTTCTTTTCAAAATTTCTTACACATATTTCACAAAAATTAGGTTTGAAAAATTTCAAAAAGTTTGCAGGTCTTTATCATATAGTTTTGGTCTGTAATGTACTCTCAAAGAGTGGCAAGTCTTGCCACCAAAATTGACTGCTTGACGTCTTTTTTCCAAGACTTCTCAAAATTTGAAATTGTCAACCATTCGGTGGTGTGATGTCAGGGTATTCCTAGCAGTTGCAGATATGGCCTGCATACTATAAACGCTTAAATATTTTAATTTTTGACATATGATGAGCTTTTAACAATTTTTTAAAGTTTTGAACTTTTCGACCCGAAGGCGGTTGGATATGAAACTACCAAAAGGGTTGCAGTTAGGGCCTTAAAGTTTGACCGCTCAAATCTTTGGAGTGTTCTCTGATCCAATCATCCATCCATACATCCAACAAGCCATCTCTCCATTTAGCTATCCTCCCAGCTAGCAATCCATTCATCAAGCCATAAACCAATCGATCAAGCCTAAATCATCAATCAATCCATCAAACTAGCCATCCATCAATCCATCACTTTATCGAGCCATTCATTCAACCAACCAGCCGCCGAGTTATTTTTCCGTCGAGCCACCCATTCAAGTAATTCATCCATCTAGCCATCAATCTACCCAACCAGCCAATCATTGATTAATCGACAAATCCATCTAGCCATGCATTCAGGAAGACATCTAGCCATCGGTCCAGTCAACCATGGATGGATCGCTTGATGAATGAATAGCTTCATCTAGCCAAGCATTCATCAAATCATTCATCTATCTAGCCATCGAACCTGCTATCTATCCATTAATCTATACATCCGTCCAACCAACAAGCAGCCATTCGTCTAGCAATCAATTCAACCAGCCCTTCAACGAAACAGACATCAAAGCAGCTATACCTCCGTTGATGTAGCCAGTCATCTATCCAGCTAACCAACTAACAAGCCATCAGTGCATCCATCAAAGCAACCATCCATCAGTTCAGTCACCTCTCAAGCAATCCATCATTCCAATCAGTCGACTAGCCATCCAATCGTTCATCTATTCTGCCATACATGGATCCATTAACCGCTCTGCCTGTCTAGCACCTCTCAATACTAACCAGCCATTCATCGATCCATCAAGCCACTTTACATCAAGCCATCGATTGATCAATCCAACCAGCTATCCATTTATCTTGCTATCCGTCCATCCAACCAGCAATCCATTTATCTAGGTTTTCAGCGATCTAGCCATCCATCCACCCATCCATTCTGCCTTCCATCCATTTATTTTGCCTTCATTCATTCATCGTGCCTTTCATCGATCCGGTCAAACAGTCTTCCATCTATTA